CGGTGCAGTGCCCTGTGTCAGCTACAATATTTCAATAAAATACATTTACGCAGTACTAAAGTAGGTGGACGAAACTTTCAATGATTTCATATTTGTCAATTCATCCAAATATAAAATATACTTTTGCCATTTTCCCATTTTGCCACTTTTCCGTTTGCCATTTTCACTTGTCTGGCGGCCTTTTACACTTTGCTCAGTTCGCTGCACAGTTTTGGCAACAGCAATTAATAACAATTAGAAGAGGCGCCGCGAAACCCCAACTAATTGTGTCTAATATATATATGTAAAGATAGAATGTGTGTGTGTGTGTGTGTGTGTGTCTGCGACATGTGTGCGAGCCAACTATTTCTTGCACATTGTCGAATAATTTATGCCACAAGCGTAATTAAATTAATTAGGATTAACTTTGGCGGCGCACGCATTAAACTAGCTTTGATTAGCTTATGCTTCCACACACACAGACACACACATTCACAAATCCATATATTTATGTCTATCTACTCGTGTGTGTGTGGCAGCTGCTTAATCTAAATGCTGGCTTTCGCCTGGGTCGCCTCGCTAATCATAAAGATGGCATAAGCGATGAGCTTGCTGCTCAAATTTATCGCAGCCTACGCAGCTTTAACTCATAATTGTTTTCACCAAGCTTTTGTGCATTCGTTTAATGTGATTTAATCTCGATAGAAACTGTTTTATCTCCCACACTAACTGATGGCTGAGACTTCAGTTCATTAAAAACCCCTTACATTTACCTGAGATTTCAGTCTGTTACTTTTGTTAAATGAGTTATTAAATGTTTTAATTTAAATGTGTTTTTGTTATAAATATTTGATATCTTTATTTACTTTTTTGATTATTATTATTTTTTAATATATTTGATTTTTGTATTTTTATTTATTTTGTCTTTATTTAATTTTTATCTGTACTATAATGTATGACTTTTGTGTTTTATTTATTTATTGAGTTATTTATTATATTTTATCATATTTTAGTTTTTAATTCAATTGATTTTTGTATTTTTCATATAATTAAAAAAAAATAATTTATTTTTAATGTGATTATTTCATATTGATAATTTTTAATTTATTTTATTTTTTTATTTTTATTTTTATTTTGGTATGTTTGTATGTAACAGGCAGCATGAGTCGTGGACTCCATAAAGTAGTTGATCAGGACGACAAGCAGAGTCGATTTAGTCCGTCTGTCTGTCTGTATGAATGACCGCGTTATTCTCAAAACTCGAGACTTATTATAATATTTTTTGTAAGAAACCATCTGAGAAATAATACAATATGCTTATATGTATATATTTATATATATATAAATTTATAATTGGCACGATCACTAGCTGTTTATATATATTTGTCTGTCTTTTATATCATGTAAAAAATTAGTAAATGTGCTCAAAAGCAGAAAGGCAAAAACACATTTGATTCACATATAGATGAAGTATATATGTATTACATATATGTGACCGATAAGAATGACAAGCTGTGTGTATATAGCTAGCTTTATCTGTTCGCCTTTCCCCTGCTGCTTCGAACTTAATTCAAACTGAGCGTAAATTTTCACTCAAAGGGGCTCCCTAGCTCTGCTGGAGTTGCATTTTGAGTGACTTTTGGGTATAAAAGGGCGCAGCAGCGGCTGTGGACGATCAGTCAAGTTCAGACGTGGACTAGGTCAGTCGGTGCGGTTTAGTGCAAGTGGTGAATAAACTTAAGTTTTTTTTGTTAAATTGTTTAAATTTAAATAATTTGTATTTATTTAATAAATATTGTATTTAAATGTATATTTAAGTTTTTTTGTTTTTAATTATTTGTTTAATAAATGTTTAATATTTAATTGCTTACGTGTTAAAAATATATAATTTGTAGTACATTATTAGCTTTTAATGATTATTATTAATAAGCACTAATTGTTATTATAATAATGATGTTAGTCCTAATGTTCATTAGCGATAATGATCATTCGGAATTCTGATTATTTATGTTCATGATTATTACTTGTAATTACCATTAACGATAATGATCATTAGAAATAAGATTATCTCATGATCATTTTCGTAATGTTACTTTAGTAACGATTCTCTTTACAATTGTTAATTCATTTTATTATATACATAATTTGTTAATTTTATATACATATTATTATTATATATATAATAATATTAATTACTATTATTATATACATAATTTTTGTCATAGGCAGAGAATCTCTTCTTTTAATTATTATTTTTATAACATATTTATATTATATTTATATATTTTTTGTAACTAAATGACTTATTTATGATTTCTTATTTATTTCCTTATTTGAATTTTATAATTTATTAATTTAAATTTTAAACATTAATAAATTAAATTATATTTAATTTTTGTAGATGCTTACCAATCACATTCATGGCTCAATCAGATCTTCAACTGTCTGTTGCAAACATGCCGACAAAAACAATATACCCTGTATTCCCATTACATACATTAAGTGCTCAATATTTATAATAATATTTATCTAAATACTAATGCCTTTGCTAATAATGATTCAATGCCTATATCTAAGAGCTGCCTTTAAGCAGTTCACTCTAACTTAAGTTATGCCATAAATTTCAAATTATGATTTAGTAGAGCCTCAGGCGAGTATCTCCTACTGCTTGTCATGCTGTATATTTATAAGGCAGCCTCTGTCTGCCTGATATATTGAGCTGAGCTGGGAATTTTTATTATACTCGCTCTCTCATCGGCGATTGAGTTAATTACCATTTGAATTGTGCTGCATGGACAATTGTTATTTGTTGCGCGGCGTCGAATGTGGCCAACGTCAAGATGTCCTTTTGTGGCTGCCCAGTTGTTGGCCAGTTGCTGTCTTCTCTTTAATTTATGTTGCGAATAAATGTGTCGCAAATCATTATGCGGAACATTTTTCTATTTGTTTTCTCTTATTTTTTTCTGTTTTCTTGCAGTGTATGCGAGGAGTGTTGGGAACTTTATTTAATGGCTTGGAAATGGAAAGAATAAACAAAAAGCAACAAACAAAACATGAATAGAGAAAAGAGCCGCAAACCAAGACGGAAACAATACCAGCCACAACAACAAGAGCAGCAACTGGAGTCGAATTGGGAGCAGCATGTGGAGCAGGTTCCACAGTGCTGCCCCATTGGGGCTTCAGTTGAACGGGCCATCTAAATATAGACACAAATCACAAAAAACTCAGAATACGAAAGACAAAACCTAAGCTATTGTTCCTCTACTCGTTGATGTAGCTTGCTGTGGTTGTTGTGGTGGCGGGCAAAGGAGCATATTAAATCAAAAAGTGGTGCAACTGCGTCGCCCTGCTCATACAGCAAAAGTTGAGTGGAGCCAACACACATACAAAACACAGTCAGGGATTAAAGGCATCGCGTCGACGGCAAGGACGACGTTGAAAACGTGAACGACGTGAACGTTTAACGCCTGCAGGATATTTATGATCATGAATTTTCTTATTGTACTGAATTCTGGGCTCTGAGCTCGTGCCCTGTGCTTCAACTGTGGCCGCGGATGCCGGCTCGGGCTTCAGTTTCGGTTTCAGTTTCAGTTTCGGAGCTGCCGGCTCCGCTTGTAAGCGATTTATTAAAATGTGCAGCAACACGAAAACTGAAAGGCGGCCAACGGACAGGACAGCTGTCTGTGGCAGGAGCCCCGGCAGCACTCCTCAGTCACTCACCCGTTCGCTCCAACGTGCCGCAGCGTATGAAATGTGCGCCCATTTATTTATACACATCGCTGCGCCGCGCCCACCAATCGACAGAAATGAGTTATAAAACTTCAATAATCTCGGCGAAATGTTTATTTATGTTTAGCACGAGAGCCAGCTGAGCCAATTGATGTGGGTGTGGGGTATGCCCAGCTCAAGGGTCTGGGTATGCAAAGGAGCGAGGAGAGAGAACGCTAGCGAACGCCTGGGGCCTGCCATTACAATATTTGCATCGTGTAGGGTGCGGTGGTGGCTGTTGCCTGGGTGGTGCAAGGAGCACTAACAGCGAATCAATAACAAAATAAATCGTTTTACAACCGCAGGACATTGTATTGTGTTACACAAAAGATTGGCAATGCCACGCCATCGGCCCCCACAATCCCCCCTGGAGCCAAAGCGAAAGCGAAAGAAACGACAGCAACAAGAAGAAGAGCACGCAGCACAAGTACAGCAAACAATACCAGGCACTTGGCACAGCGAAAACAAGCAATGAAAGGATATTATAGTAAAAGTATTTACAAGATGAAAACGAACAAAAGCGAACGAACAGCGCCCGGCCAGGACGCGCTGCGCAAAGGTAAGGCGAAAATATATAAAGTGAAAGGAAGTAGAAAGTATAAATCGTTGCAATCAATTTTTGCTATGTGGTACGAATTGATAAACTGCCCAAGCAGTTCCCTGCTGATGCCGCTGCTGCTGCTGTTGCTCGTGTAGCATCCGCAGAGGTTGGCTGCTGCGTTGTTGCAAGCCGATACGCCAGGTGAGCTGGATGGGCTCTGGCAGTGCTGCCTGCCGGCTGCAGTGCTTCGATCTGGGTTACCTACATAGCACTTAAAGCGAGCGCCATTCGACTTGGTGTCTCCTCGTTTCGATATCCTCTAACTGATTGAATTGCAGCAAGGAGTTTATATCGATTGGGTAGATGGCTGAAAAGGCAGTCTCAACTGGAACCGAAATGACGTCTCGTATAGCTGAGAGTTGGATGCAGTTGTTTGCAGGGTAACTCCAGGTCGAGCAGCTGCTGCCACAGTGTATCACTCTAGTTTACGATTTGTTTTTGGCGCAAGTCGCTGTATAAGTGGGTGTGGCCTGTTCAGTGCAGCAGCTCTGGTTACCGAACGCTCTTCTGGTCATGCGATGCTTTATGGATTGGCGCACATTTAATTTGTATTGTGGCCCGCATGGAAATGATTGCAGTTCGAATGTTCTGTGCGCTTGCAGCTCGTTAATTTAATTCTCATTATGTTTTGTTAGTTTATCTCACATCTCACTTAAGCATAGCCCACATATTCAAAATTGAAGTATCCGTGCTTCTCGCGGAAACTGGAAACAGGTTCGCCGGGCAAGCAGCCATTGCGGCAGTGACAGCCGCGGGGATTGCACTTGCCACGGCCGCACCAGGTGCCCACAATGCCATCGCCATTGCCGCAGATCTTCTTCTCGCATGTCTCGTGGTTGTGGTACTTGCCCCCATAGGTCTGGCAGCTGTGCTCCTTGCCGGGAGCCAGCTTGAAGAGGATCTTCGACGGCTTGCAGCAATCGGCAGTTGCGCTTGCCGCCAGGCACAGCAGCCAAATGGCCATAGACAGTGGAGCAATCAAGGCCAATCTCATAGTGCTGACGAATCTATCCAGACTGATGCTAGTCTACCCCAAAATATGGCTTTATATGGCTTCGACTAGTCTCGCCTCGGTATCTTCCAACAAGCGATAGCAAAGCGCAACATTTCTTTGTTAATTGCTGCTAATTGGAATCTGTTTCAACGCCAATCAGTGCGCGCAAATCGACACAGTTATTAATTGTTGATAAATGGCTTAGGTGCGTAACCGATAAGCCATTTAATTGCAAAGCTCTGTGAACTAAGTGAGAATGGAAACTGAGTATAACATGCAGTGGAAATGCAGGCATACACATGGGCCATATTAGGCCATCTTTGGTGGTGGCCGCAGAATAAAAAAGTTCACTTAATTCGTATCTTTTCAATAACTTCTATCAGAATAAACATTTATAGTTGGGGAATATCTGTTTATCTGTATTAAATTGCTCTAAAATTTCTATCTATTGCTCTTCGACTAAACAAAATGCACATTATATATATAGAAATCGCCGTAGTAGTTCTGGAACTGCTGCAATGGATTGCCCGTGCGGCAGCCGTCTTCGCAATTGCAGCCAAATATGTTGCATGGCCCCTGGCCGCAGTAGATGCCCTCGACGGCAGTTCCATCATCGCAAATGAATGCCTCGCAAATGCCATTCTGAGACGTCTTGGCGCCATACAGCTTGCACTCATCCTCCTCGTCGATCAGCTGAAAGGCTATCTGCTTCGAGGGGCAGCAAACGCCTTCGCTGGCCTTGAAGTGCTGCAGCAAAGTGGCCAGCAGTGGCAACAGCTTGAGCCAGTTAGGCAATGAGCTGCCGAACAACATGTTGCTTCAGTGAATCGTCTCAAAATTTGATAAAAAGTATAAAATGATTGTGTGCAGCTGCAACTGTAGGCAGATCTGAACTTATTTATGTTCGTTGACTTTTCTATATGCTATGAATGCTATGTCTAAGCGACATTATTTAGATATATATTTATAAAGTAGATATCTTAAAGATTCATAAAAATATATTAAATCATTTAACGAGCATAAATTGCTAACAATCTTCAATCAATTTCGCATGCTAAGCTGCAGCAGCTACCATAACCGATTAGGCCATGGAGCGCCATCCAGCATATTATGGTAAAAGTTACGTATACGCCGCATGGGCATGCACTCGGAGTAAAAATGAAATTTATATGCAAGATACAACAGGCAGGCAGATAGAGCGAGAGAGAGAGTGTGTGTGCGCGAGTGTGAATGAGTGAGTGCGGCATAACGTTGCTGTGTTGGGCAAGTAAATATTTTATAATTTAATCAACATAAAAGCAACAAAGGCAATGACAATGGAGCCTGTACGACTGTCGCGACTGTCGCTACGCCTCTGCGGTTAAGCGAGGGGAGTGGCACAATAAAATTGGTAAAAGAAACGGGAAATGCCAAAAACGAATGTCAAATACGTTGCGCGATAATGTTTAATGATAAGCAGGCGAGCGAGTCGGAGTCAACGCGAGGCGAGGCGAGCCGAGGCGCAGCGAGGCCAACTTGAAATACAGTCGGCAATAGTCAAAGATGTTTATCGTGCGACGAGTGTGCGACAATAAAAGCGAAGACAGCAGCCATGTGGCGCAGAAGGGACGGCGGGCATCGAGCAACACAGAAGACAGTGTGGCTGCCACTGACAAATGGAGCATGCTTGACATGGGGGTGGGGCGGGGATCCCGTTGTGTCATCCAAACAATGGACAAGTTTATATTTGCATTTATTTCTATTAGGCGCACATTTGTCAAAAGCTGTTTATGTGCCTCTGGGCAAGATGAGATCTTGATCTGTTAGCCAACTCGTCGGCCCGACTTTAACAGGGCCCAAGCCAAAAAAGCAGAAAAGCAGCAAAGCCGAGAGGAAGTGCTTTAAGTAACTTCCAGCCTGTGCTCTGCAATAAAATATTTATTCGGTATTGTCGTGCACTTTTATTTGACATCATAAACAAAAGCCACGAAAGTGTAAACACAACTTGGCTCAACATGCGCATTCGGCAGGAGGTTGTTTGCACTCAGCTCTTCTTCTTGTTGTTGCTGTTGCCGTGTTGTTGACTTATTTAAGCCATAAAGTGCTCTCGCGCACACACGCACACTCGAATATTGACACGAGCACGTGTGGGTGTGCCAAATTTAACGCCCCTGTACGCACGTTCATAGACAGAGACAATAGCAATGGCAAAAAGCAAACAACTCCAACGCCAACCGCTAACAAATACTATAAAAATATAAGAATCCTAGGACGACTTGCAAATGCTCTAACACTTGTAATTGATATGTAGCTGAAGTTGTTAAGGTGTTAAAGATTATGCTGATTGATATTAGTTAAGGAGAGTAGCTGAGTGTTGGTGTAGAGAGGAAAGCAGTGCCGAATGAGTATAGCAGCAGTTCTTAAGTAGTTCACAATAGATGCAGAATTATTCAAGTTTGTCTACTTAAACTTGAAATCTTACCTAAGAACTTTACAATTGCAAGGAAAAGCTTAGTTTGGTGCCAAGAAGAGGCCGCATCGAAGCACTTCAGCAGCATTTAATAACTCCTGTAGAAGTTGGCTTAAAATAAAATATATATTAAACATAAAGTATATAGTACATAGTGTACTATAATTCCCGATCTAATAGCTCATTCTCTATTTGTAAAGCTATCGAATAAGCAAACAGTTTGGCTAACTTTCTTAACTTTTATCTTTTGCCATTGACACAAAAACTGTTTTCCATTTCATAAGCCTTTGATGTTTGCTTATTCAATATCTCGTTGCTTTTATTATAAAAGCAAACTAATGCAGCCCAAAGTCCAAATTTATACAGATATTAGCTACTAATTTATGGCTTATTTATTCCGGAACAAATCTTACTACAAATTTACTATGCCCGTTTGCTGGGGCATTAAAAAAAGACCGGCAGCAGTTCAAAATCGCATAAATTTTTGGCTATACACACTCAAGTATGTGCGTGCGTGTGTGTGTGTGTGTGATTGGGTTGTGCTGTTAGTTCTTGGCATTGCTCTTGACGTGTTTTGGTTTTCATACTTCTGGCTGGGTTTCCTCTTGCCTTTCTCTTTTCCCTTCTCCCATTTCTGTTTTCGTTTTTCGTTATTTCATTTACTTTATTGTTGTTGTGTTTGCCCATAGATTCGTTGACCCCGTTGCCTAGTTTTGGGCGAGCGTCTTTTGGCCAAGTGCCCGGGGCGCCACAAGTGGTCGCAGCTTCGCTTGTATTTGGCATTCTGCGAAACTTCGGACTGGATAATATTCATATCGTACACAAATTGGTATGGAGCCAATGTTGACCAACTTGTGTGGCAGCTCATTATGCATCTCTGGAGGCGTGCGGATGGGGCGTGGCCCAAGCATGTATGTGCACATAGCATATCCACAGCAATTTGAATTTATGTCCTTCTTATGCATTTTATGGCGTTGCTTGAGTAAAGGTTGCCCCTCTACGCACACATGCCACACGCAAACGCCCCGAGGCCGCTCCATAGCGTCTCGATGCCTCGGTGCCCACCTCCAGGAGCAGTTTTTGTTTACGTTTAACGCTGATGCTGATGCTGCTGCTGCTGCTGGTGCTGGTAGCGGCGCCCCTTGGACGGGCCACCTTCGTCGCTTACGTGCCACGCATATAAATTATTGTATCTCGGGCGTATTAAAAATGTACGAGTGCTCATCTTGTTATCCTGTTGTGTAAGCGGATTATGTCGGGCATAAATGTCATGCGTTGTGCGGCTGTTGAAACCACGACACAGCCAAAGGCTCCTATCTGCTGCTCTCCTCTTCTTCTCGCTTCGACGACCTTGCTGCCATGCCGTAACTCCTTGTCCTTTGCACTCTCTTTTCTTTCATTCACTTCTCATACTCTAGCTGAGGGCAGTTGGAATAGATCGGAAAGCAGGTTAACTTGGCAGAAAAAGACTTTTTTAATATGAAATTGTCTGAGCTAAGTTTTCTTCTAAGGTTTTTGTTCTAGATATATAATCAGCTATAACATTTTATAAATTCAAATCATAATTATTTAATTTAATATTTAAACTACTTATTTATACAAATCTCCGACTCTGTTTCCTTTACTTCAGTAAGTGTATTCGCCATTCGGCATCGACTCGCCCATTGGCGCAGTCGTATTTTTCTTTGCTTTTGTGTGCCGCAGCGATTTGTGTGGAGCTGTTTTTCTGCCATTTCGTATTAAGCATTACGCAGCGTCATGCACGTGTCCTGCGTCGGCCACGCCCGCTTCAGAGGGCCGTTGCCCATTGACAGCATTTTGATTTTACTTTTATTGAAATTTAAAACCGTGGCTCGCCGGCGACAATCGATGTTCGCCAATAGCACACAATTTGCACATAACTTGTGCTTAAAATTGTTAACCGATTTTCGAGGGGGGCGGGAGGCGGGAGGTTGTGAATTGGACCACACAGAGGAGCAGCGCAGCAGCGCAGCAGCTCAGTCGTTAATGCCAGTTTCCGATTTCATTTCAGCATTTTCGGTCGCATTTGGGGCGAATGCATGCAAATATTACAGAGTGGGTTTTTCTGCGAGTCGCATGTTTGCATTAGCCCCAAAAATGTTATTGGATGCAGAATTGCAAACGTGGCAGCGACTGCAGTTGCGGCCGCTTATCGCCCATGCCAATGTGGCAACCGTTTTGTGGCATGCACCAATATGAGTTAAAAGTAATGCAATTGCTGATAAAATAAGCCAAGTGTCCACAATAATTCACGTTCCATGTGAGCCTAAACAGTACAGAATCATAATTGACATTTCGTGCTGAACGATGCAAATCTCGATAAGGCATAGATGGAGATGAAACAGCTTAGCAACTAATTAACGTGACTGTCTATGGGATATCTTCCACTCAGTCACCTCAACAGCTGCTTAATCACAAATATTCAATTAACACAGCTAACGAGCACAACAAGAATATGGTAATAAATCAATAATTGGTAAAAGCTACTTATATAAAAATAATTACATCGAAATATTCTTTAATTGGCACT